CACCCACCCCCATGCCCTACCTCGCGCCACTCTCCCTACACCTCACCTTGCCCTACTTACCCTACACCCCACCTTACCCACATTGCCCCACCACCCATAGGGTGGGTGGTGGTAGGATGCAGGTGGTTGTCGTGATGACGATACCAATGTCATGGTGGTCAGTTGGGTGGGGTAGGTGGGGATGGTTGTTGTGATGACGACAGTAGTGGCAAGATGGTCGGTTAAATGGAAGGGGTGGGGGTGGTTACTATGACGATAGCAATAGTGGCATGATGGTTGGTGGGGTAGGGTGGTAGCTATGACGATGACAATAGTTGCATGGTGTTAAGTGGGGTAACGGTATGGTCTGTGGTGGTAGCAGTGACGACATAAGTGGCATGGTGGTTGGTGGGGCGGTAGCTGTGTAACACCCTCAAATTTGGAAAGAACGACTGATTTAAATTTTCCAATAATACAACAAATAAAGGATAAATCCTTTTATATAAATCAATACTTCAACTATTCGGAATAGCAATTCAAGATTTAACATCAACAAATTATAAACCAAGCCTTGCATAAATACTAAGTCAAGATCGGGTGTTGCTAAAACCCAATAATGGTCGTTATCTCCAAAGGCGGAAGACGTCACCATATAGATAAATCCTTCTCGTGCATCTATCTAACACTTAACAACTGTTGGTCCCTTGAGGGTCTATAGGATAAGTAAAACAGTTTGTAGAAGGGGGGGATGAATACAAACACAATATTTTCAAATTTAAAATGTATATTGATAAAGAAGATCAATACAAATTTTACAAGACTGTTTGCGGAAAGATAAGGTAAGAAAACCTATCTAAACAATCTTTGATTACACACATATTCTTAGCAAATGAGAAAATAAATGCTGTAAGAAAAGTTTCTTTACTTAAGCTAGAAAATGCTCAAAGTAAGAATTAGGTTTAGAGAGTGAGTTGCGCGCACTCTGCATGGAGAAGAAACACTTCTATTTATACTGTCACACCCCGCTAAAGTGGAAACACGAGATATGATAGCTCACGGTTTCATTGCACAAGTAATAGATAACACCATAATTGAAATATATAAATTACAAGTTCAAGATTTTCAGAATCATAATAAACTGCTCTCATAAGGAGTCAGTGATGTACAAAATGCAAACACAATCTAGTTCGAAAGGTTGAAATGTTGATGTCGTTGCACACAGATGCTCAAAATGTCACTTATTTCCTGAAAAGCATGAAAGAAAAAGTCAACTACAAAGAGTTGGTGAGTTCACAGGTTTTATATGCACAGAAACTTTTCAATGCAGAAAATCTCATTCTTGCAAACTTATTTATAACACTTGCACACGGTTAAATGAAAATTTTAATATGATGTTTAAACTCRAGCCGCTACAGATCCTTTTCCGACAACAATTAGTCCCAAAAACATTTTCACGAACTACCATGAAGTGGCCCGCGCGCTAACTTAGGTATCACGTTTCGTCTACAGAACTACCTCAGCGGTGGTGTTTAACCCACATGTGTATACTAAATGGGTAGGACTACCTCAGCGGTGCCGCATTCGCACATGTGTAGCCTACAATAATAATAAATAGTAGAGTGCACCCGTTTTTGGGTGGGAATGTCAACCAAATAGCGCTATCCACAATACTATCGGCACGACACAATTCCGAGTTAACTAGTAGCGTACGCGGTTGGGGACGATAAATAACATCACTCAAGTACATCAATTTAGCATTTAGACCATTGTGCATTTATAATCAGATATCATGATTATAACAATTTACATTTAAACAATTCAGTTTGCAATTTATTCATGATTTTCCCCCAAATATTCAATAAATAAAAACGCGATGAAAACGGGGTCGTGATTACTCACCGAATTACTGAGCGTGAAACTTGATGACTTTGGCGGTGAGAAACTCTAAGATCTCGGTCTCTCCTCTCCTACGATGTCCAAAATCTATAGAAAAAGTATTTATTTTTATGTAATGCCGATAAGCTCTCATTATTTAAAGTTGATATTTATAATATAATGTCCTTTAATTTGTCCATTTTAATGAAAATTAAACTTGAAATCCTTTTCACATAAAATCATAA